CCCCAATTCTATCCAAAGGAATACTGACAATGGATTGCTGTAGATGAGGAACAGCTGATCCTCCTGGAACAGGGACCTCTGGCTGACTAGATTTATCAGAAGGACAGATGGGGGCAATAGATGGGGGTCCTGACAACACAGTGGACATTGGCAGGGATGACAGAGTATGGAGGCTCTAGAGGGAGAAGAAGGCTGTTTATCTGACGAGTTTATATTCATACTCAGATGCCACGGAACTCAGAAAGTAAGTGACTGTGACCAGTAATAGTCATATATATAGAGATTAGAAATGCATGTGAAAACGTCTCAATGTCAGTTGCCTTAAAATGAATTTTTCTGTATGAAACTGTATTTTAACAACGAAGTGGAGATCTTTTCTAAACATTAAAACCTCATTTAATTTTATGTCTTGTAGAGTTTATAATCAGTAAAAGATTGTACAAGCGTAATAATTCCTCTGTAAACCTAAAAATGTACAGCCATTTTTGAAAGAGATGTACCCTAGCTCAGAAAAATGTTATTGAATAGGTTAATGCTGTTGTAATGAAATGCTTCTTTTAATTAAAAAAAAAAAAAAGGTGGGGGGGTGGCCTGGAGAGATGGCTGAGCAGTTAAGAGCACTGGCTGCTCTTGCAAAGGACCCGGGGTTAAATTCCTAGCATGCACAAGGCAGCTAACAGCTGTCTGTACTGCAGTCCCAGGGGATCCAACACCCTCTTCTGACCTCCACGGACACTGCACAATACAGGTATACTCGCACGCATGCAGGCAACACTCTCATACACATAAAATAAAAACAATAAGTATTTTTAAAAGACTAAAAAATAGAAAATAAAACAAAAACAAGCTAAAAGCCACTTTAGTAGTAGTCAAAGACAGAACACTTTCATCATCTACAAGGATTACATCAGCAAGAGAATGAAACACATCAAATAAATATACTTTATCCCAGATGAGATGCTTTAAAAACCCCCAACTAGTCACCTTTGGAAAATGCTAAGGAACCAACCAATTAATTTGACAACTGATATATAAAGAGGAAAAAAGTCAAGCACGTACCTTGCCTATACTGCTAAAACTGTATTTCAAAATAACAAAAGAGCAGGGAAGAGAGTGTTTCTTCATAGAATCATTTAGCGAATAAATGAACAGGAAATATTAAAATGCAAGAATTAGAACTCTGTCATTTTCAGCCACCAATGAAATAATGAAACTAGATGCTGATCAGTCACAGCTGTGACATCACAGACATGTGGCCCCAGATGACACATACCTTCCAACCAACCCCCAAATCCAACCTGAATCTGATCCAGCCTCCAAATATGAGTTACAGAACACACTAGGGACCTCCAAGGTTCAGGGAAGCGATCAGTAAAACTCAGGCTGCGGCAAACAGTACAGTAACCATCTCCTTCTGAATAAACTAAAAGCAGCACAAAATGCAGCGAGAAGGAGGCGCCCGAGCGTTGAGAACACACTGCAGCTTCTGGCCTCTCCTCAGTCCTGACTCAGACATTCTCTATAAAAGAAACATACAATGATTGAGAAACTGAACACCAAGTGCATATTTAATATTAAGGAATTAGTATTGCTTTAGATGAGACAATGACTGTATTTGTTTTTGTTATGCATCTTCGCCCTTTAGAAATATTTGTTCAAGTACTTTCAGATTAAATTAAATGCTGTCTAAGGTTTGTTTCAATAACCCAGTGTGATGGTTTGAATGA